AAGCAAACAGAGAAAAACAAAAAAGACAAACAAACACAGACAAAAAAAAACAAATACGAAAAAAACAAAGACAAAGACAAACAAAGACAAAAAAAAATAAAAAAAAAAAGACAAAGACAAACGGATGGAGACAAGCAAACAACAACAAAGACAAAAACAAATAAAAGCAAAGACAAAGACAAACAAATACAGATAAAAACAAAGACAAACAAACAAAAAATAAACAAAGACAAAGACAAAGACAAACAAAGACAAACAAAAAAAAAGAAGAGACAAAAAAAGAAAAAAGTATAGAGGCAGAGAGAGACAAAAAGACAAAGACAAAGGGGGAAAATAATAAAGACAAAGACAAAGACAAAAGACAAAAAGACAAAGACAAAAACAAAAACAAATAAAAACAAAGACAAAGAAAACACAGAAACAAACAAATAAAAATAAGAGGATGGCAAAATAAAAAAACAAAAAAAATAAAAAGAAAAATATAAAAACCAAAAGACAAACAACAAACAAGTAGATATAGACAAACAAATAAAAAAAAAATATATATATATATATGTATGTATATATATATATATATATATATATATACATATATATATATATTATATGTCGTTTATATAATATATATGTATATATAATACAGACAATAAAATAGAGAGAAATGAATAAAGGCAAATAAATAAAGACAAAGACAAAGACAAAGACAAAGACAAAGAAAAATAAAAATAAATAAAGACAAAGACAAAGAAAAATAAATGAAGACAAATAAATAAAGACAAAGACAAAGACAAACAAAGACAAGGATAAATAAGCAAAGACAAAGAAATAAAAACAAGTAAACAAAGACAAAGACAAGCAAAAAAAGACAAAAACAAAAATAAAAAAAAATAAATAAAGGCAAACAAACAAAAACAAAAAAAATAAAAACAAATAAACAAACGTAAATAAATAAAGACAAACAAACACAGACAAAAAGCAAAAAAAAAAAAAACAAAGACAAACAAAAAGGAGAAAACAACAAAAACACAAACCAACAAACAACAACAACACCACCACCGCCACCACCACGCCACCGACCATAACCACCCTCTCTCCCCCCCTCTCCCCCCCCTCCCTTTCCCTTTTATTTTTTTTT